TGGGGACCCCCCGGACCCCCCAAAACTCCCCCTCAGTGCCGCCTCTGTACAGGCCCTTCCCTTCAGTTACTGGGGGGGGGGTCGCAGGTCCGTGTTTGGGGGGGGCGGTGTGTCGGATTTTGGGGGTCCCGGATGCGTTTGAGAAGGTTTGGGGGTGATCTGCAGAGTCCCCGAGCGGTTTTTCGGGGGTAAGACACAGATTTGAGGGATCCCAGGGCCGATCTCTGGGGTCCGGGGGTGATTTTGAGCCGTTTTTGGTTGTTCGGTGCCGATTTGGGGCTGATTTTGGGGCTTCGGGATTGATTTTGGGCGGGTTTTAGGGCTTCAGGGATGATTTTGAGCCGTTTGGGGGTTCGGGGATGATTCTGGCCGGTTTTTGTGGGCTCGGGGGTGATTTTGAGCCCTTTTTGGGGGTGATTTTGAGCCGTTTTCGGGGCTCAGCGATGATTTTGGGCGCTTTTCGGGGGGGTGATCCCGCCCTGACCAATCAGCGCCCGGATCCCACCCCTGGTGGGCGTGGTTTGCGCCAGGCCTCGCCCTCCCGTGGGCGCCGCGCATGCGCGGGGCGTGGCCGGGCCCCACTCACGTGTCCGCACACGCGGCCCCGCACGTGCGGCCGCACGCGGGGGTGGTGCCAGCGAGGGGGCGTGGTCGGGGGCGTGGTTTACGCCCGGGGGGCGTGGTCAGGCTCTGGCTCCCTTTTTCCCCGCCCATCGCGACAGCGGCGCCGCTTCCGCGATATCGAGACCGCCCCGAGCGGATCGGAGACCCCCCAAAAGATCCCCAGGACCCCCGGAATTTACACAGGGGACCCCCTAATTAACAGAGACTCTCTCAATTAACAGAAATCCCCCCTCGCCAATTAACAGAGCCCACATAATTAACGCCTTTCCCGAGCCGGAGTGGGCGTGGCCAATGGGGAGGGGCGTGGCCTCGGCGCAGCCCACGCCCCCTCACGTGGGTCACGTGGGTCACGTGGGAGGCCGCGTGTGGGGCAGTGGGCGGGGCCCGCGCGGGGCGGGGGGGGCGGCGCATGCGCGGAGCCATCGAAGGTGCCAGAAGGATCCGGGGGGGGGGGGGGGGTCCTGAGAGTTTTGTGAGGGGTTTGGAAAAAGAGAGGAAACCCCCGAGGGGCGATTGGGGAGGGGAAAAAAATCATCCCGAGAGGGGCGGGGAGGGGGAGCTGGGAGGGGAAAGAGCGCCCTGAGGGAGGTCTGAGGGGATTTGTGAGGGGAAAGAGCGAACTGAGGGGATTCTGAGGGGATTTGTGAGGGGGAAAAGCGATCTGAGGGGATTCTGAGGGGATTTGTGAGGGGAAACTTCGCTCTGAGAGGAGTTTGGGGGAGTTCTGAGAGGATTTGTGAGGGGACACAGCCCCCTGAGGGGAATTTGGGGGAGGTCTGAGGGGATTTGTGAGGGGAACCCTCCCTTTGAGAGGAGTTTGGGGGGATTTGTGAGGGGAAACTTCGCTCTGAGGGGATTTATGAGGGGGAACAGGGATCTGAGAGGAGTTTGGGGGCTGTTCTGAGGGGATTTGTGAGGGGAAACTTCTCTCCGAGGGGAGTTTGGGGCAAGTTTTGAGGGGATTTATGAGGGGAAAACTTCTCTCTGAGGGGATTTGTGAGGGGAAAAAGCGATCTGAGAAGAGTTTGGGGCAAGTTTTGAGGGGAATTGTGAGGGCAAACATCGATCTGAGGGGGCTCTGAGGGGATTTTAGGGGTTTTGAGGGGATTTGTGAGGGGAAAAAAAACCCTTGAGGGGTCCCTGAGGGGATTTTGGGGGTTCCTGAGGGGATTTGGGGTCCCTGAGGGGTTTTTTGGGGGGGTCCTTGAGGAGTTTTTTGGGGTCCCTGAGTGACTTTGAGGCCACCCCAAAACCGTCACCTCAGCAGAAATTTTGGGGGGGAGGCCAACCCCTTTTATTTTATTTTTATTTTATTTTATTTTATTTTATTTTATTTTATTTTATTTTATTTTATTTTATTT